TAACTGCAGGGTTTTCAGGGCTCTGATGTGTCTGTCTGGAATGATCTTATAAGACTGGTGTTTTGAGGTGCATAAGCTTAAGGACTTGTTTACATTGTAAGCTACTGGCACAATGCAAACAAGTCCTTGAGCTTATGCACCTCATGTGCTACAACTAGATATTTAGCTTTGACAACAGAACATACCTGCAGAAAAAGGGGCCCCCTCTAACTGCCACAGTACCAATTCACATAAGTGAATTGGTACTGAGGCAGTTAGAGAGCGAGGTCATCCTCAGATTTACACCTGAAAACATTATATACTGGAAGTACATTGATGATGTGATTTATCATCTGGAATAAGGAGCCGAATGTCAATGACTTTTTAGACAGCATGAATGACAACCGATACGGACTCACCCTCAAACTAGAACAGTTGTCAACAACTAGTGTGCATTTTTTAAATCTTACCATTCAGCTCAACAAAGGTGAGATTGAGACATGGGTGTACTACAAACCCTGCTTCTTGCCACTATACAAACTGGCAGACTCTGAGTATCCTTATCCATATAAGATTGCGGAGTAATTGGTCATTTATACTCAACTATGTATGGAAAGACACGGTCAAGGAACTTAGACACCTAGAAGACATTGCCACAGGACATGGGTACAAAAAAGACATAATTTGTGGTTTGGCTCATGACTTAGGCAACGCATGGGATGATGCATCCCTATAGACCAGGGGCACCAACAGATCCTGAATGGGACCCTAATGCAAGACACAGAGTCATAGAGTACAACAAAAACTTGCATTCCTTATATGGGGAAATTGCACGAAAGAAGGGCACCAAATTGGCATACAGAAGGATGCAAACAATATACTTGTTACTGAGGAATGTGAAGGACACACTGAATAATTTTTGAGCACCAGGGATGTATAGTGTCCCGATCAAGGACCACAGGTTTCAGAGGAATTTGGTATGTATAGGGTTGACCACTTCCGCTTCATTATCTTTTCACTGCTTGACCTTTCTTTTATTACTTAAATATTTAATTATGACTTTAAACCGTTAATTAATGTTGATCAAACAAAGTGGAAAGGGAAAAGGAGTCAAAATCTCACATTTGTATTTAAAATGATCGAATGTTAACATTCCATATTTAGAACTCAAGTGATCCAAGAACCTGAGGCAGATCTCTGTTAAGATTGAAAACGTTTGTTTGTTTGTGTATTATATCTTACCAGAAATTAAAGGTTTAGCAGTGATATAGTAATTTTTATGTTGTAAGTTCTCAACATAACAAAAATGAAGTTGTGAATGCAATGCCTTGTTTACTTCTAGTTATATTTAGAGTTACATGAACTATTGGTGAAAATTCAGATTTGTATGATATTCAGTCATATATCAAAAGCAATAAAATAAGTCTTTAATAAATTTTTTTTTATTTGTCATTTAAATAAAACTTCATATACAGTTGTATTATTGTGCATTTGTGTCTAATAATTTTTAATCATAATTTTATCAAGTTTAGTGGTGTCATCAATATTATTTTCAACAAACTTGCTACAACTCTAATCATTTTCATATCTGCTTGAGACTTATTTATCTACATGACAAAGTTTTACAGTGATACAACTTCTTCTTCATGGTATGATAATTTTTATAGCAATGATGAGTATATTTAGAGTAATTATTTTTGATATATTTATAAAGTTAGTTTTTTAATTTAATTATTTCAAATGTATATTAAGTTTACAAAAAACAAATTTAATTTGAGTGTAAAATTTACTTAAAGAAGAAGAAACATGAATTAATTTAGGTTTTCACTGTTAATAATTTTATTATTATTTCTGTAACATGATGACTTTTTAAGATATTTTATTACTAATATTTAAATATATATATTTTTTAATTTGTTTACAAATGGAACAAATTGTTCAATTTTAAACTGAAGAAGCCTTAATGTACTGAAATACTTTTTATGAATGAAATATTTAACATATTATTATTGTATTGTTGAAGAATTAATGAAATTATTAACTTTAAAGGACTTTAGAAATTGAGAAGAAAAGTATATATTGGGTAACCAAATAAATAATGTTTTTTTTGAAATGTGAATAAAAAGGTATAAATTTTTTGTTTAAAATTTCATTTATCAATCAGCCTTTAATCCCTTTTTTATATATAATACAATATACTTTTTACAATTATGTAGTACCTAATTTTATGGAATGGTTATCATACAATTGAAACTATTGTCTTATATGCCTCCTAAAATGCATTTTGGTCCTTGGTTTTAATGGCCCTCATCAGTTAGATAATCATAGTTTAAATATAAGGCAAAAAAAAGGTTTTACAATATTGCTAGACACACACTCATAAACCTATTAATATCATTAAAATAATAATAAAATGATAAAACTATTAACCAATAAAATATTTACATCATGCTTAGTTGTTGACAGCTTTACAATTACATGACAAACATTTTAACAATATATTATACAACAGTGTTTTTCAACCTGTGGGTCGCGACCCACAGGTTGAAAAACACTGTTGTATAATATATTGTTAAAATGTTTGTCATGTAATTGTAAAGCTGTCAACAACTAAGCATGATGTAAATATTTTATTGGTTAATAGTTTTATCATTTTATTATTATTTTAATGATATTAATAGGTTTATGAGTGTGTGTCTAGCAATATTGNTTGGTTTTTTGATTGACATTTAGGTGTGAATGATGGGTTTCGCCAGGGAGGGGCCAGAAAATGATAGCCGAAAAAGTGCTGAGCTGACCTGTAAAAAAAGTAATAAGTAGAAAAGTGGAAGTTAAAAACTGTCGTCCTAAAAAAAAGGTCAACAGCACTCCGAACCCAATGTTCCTATGAGAGAGAAGTATCATACCATACGTGTCATAAGTTATTGTCGATCCTTCTTAAATTCTTATTTTAGTCAACAATAATTTCTCAGACTAACAGCACAAAACCTTTCTCACTAATTTCTAGCCTTATTAACTGGAGTACAAACGTTTTCGGCCTTCTTAATAGGCCTTACTCCAGTTAATAAGGCTAGAAATTAGTGAGAAAGGTTTTGTGCTGTTAGTCTTAGAAATAGTTCTAGCTACATATGCATAGTAGAATAATTTCTCTCAACAGAAAGAAAATTAAATACATAATTTTTAAAATCACTGATATAGTTTTAATATCGCCCTAGGGGGGTCGCCAGAACTTTTTAACTTGTAAAGGGGTCGCGTATTCAAAAAGGTTGAAAAACACTGTTATACAACATATCAATTATCTAAAAACATGTTGTTTCACTAATATTGCTGTAATAAAACTTTACTGCGTTATTTCTTCTCATTCATCTCTGAGCCATAATTATTTCTTTTAGATGATTTACTGTTAACATGGCCACATTTCAAGCCTTTGTACAGCAAATTTGCCTTTTCCAGTTGAAGATTAGTAATACAGTAGAGCGTTGTTTATCCGAATCAATTGGGGACTGGGGTTGTTCGGAAAATCAATATTTCGGATAACCAATTATGTACAAGAAAATATATTAACCTATTCCATGTTGAAATTTTTCTCCATTGTGTGTCGCTTTGCGTTGAATTTTCGTAGATGTTAAGCCTAACGAAGACTATTGTATTGTTAAAAATTGAAAAATATAAAAACAATAAAAAAATTATACTTCAGAAGTTAATTTAGTATCAAAAATGTAAAATATTTGAGTAGCCCAAGACATAGCCAAAGATTGCAGCACCACAGCACTGGCGAAAATTTAAATTTGCCAACTGGAATTCTTTCATATAATTGACTTTTGGATAAATGACGCTCTACTGTACATGAATTTTAATGCATTCATGTATTACTAATGATTTACATTACTCATCAGTATTATAACTTTAGTTACTCCATGCACAAAGGCGATATTTTTCATTTATCTTTTCATTGTTAATTATCTGCCATGCAAACTTTGCAGACACTGTAACCTTACACACCTGAATCTACTAAGAAATCAAATGTGGTCAGTAGACTCTAAGGTAGTCTGAGTTGGACAGCATCAAAATTACATTAAAACATGCTTAGGTAATGATCAAAGTAGGAACTTTAATCAGTATTTTTCTTATGGTAAACAGATCTTTTTACTGTTAATTGAGAATTCTGAATATTGTGATAGTTATGTATATATTATCTGTTATTACAGTAAAACCCCAATTCGGATGTCTTGAAAAATATTTTTCAAGACATCCGAATTGTTGCAGTCAGCAATCTTTCGCTAGAATATAAGTTAAAAGTCCTGAACTTCATGAAACGTTTTGGGAAGTACCCATTGGCTCTAACTGTAGGAGGTTGTTTCGAAAACCCCAATTTAACAAACTAATTCAGGCAAGGAGTTGCCCATTAAAGCCAAATGTCGATTATATAATAAAGTAGATTTAATGAATGCACATATTAAAAATTGACAAATTACCTAGTTTGTTTTTATGTTTACATAATTAAAATTAAGTATGTATGAGAAGTTTAATTTTACAGAAAAGTTTTTTTTATGTATTATTGCTTACATACTCACCATAGTTCTGAGACTGCAATAAATGATTATATGATCTAAAAAAAAAATTAACATATTTTGGAAACTATACATTAATTATATTTGATAAAACAAATAAATAAATCTTAAAAGAAAAAAAAATTTAACTTGACAAAAACACAATTTTGTTGAATTAAAATTTCCTATTTATTCATCTTTGGATGATGATAATTAAGACACTCCTGTTGTGGCTTGGAGATAAGAGCAGTGACTCTTGGATTTGAAAAAATAAACTTGTTAATTTAATTACATATAAAATGCATTTTAAAATTAATAGAGAGTTAATTTTCAGTATTTCATAAAGACTGGAAATTTTGTCTGTTAAATGGAGGTCCCTTAAATTGAGGTTCTACTGTATTTTGAAACAGAATTATTTTAAGTGTATAAAATTGAAATTTATTAATTAATATTGTGTTTGTATATTTTCAGATTCTTACAGGTAGTGGTGACAGCACATGTGCACTCTGGGATGTTGAATGTTCTCAATTACTACAAAGTTTTCATGGTCATACAGGCGATGTAATGGCTTTAGACTTATCTCCTTCAGAAACGGGCAATACGTTTGTTTCTGCTGTAGGTGAAATAAAATGTTTTTATTATTCATAAAATAAGAATACAACTTTTTGTAAAATATCAGATTTAGTCTTGTGAAAAATGATTTCTTAAAAATATAACAATATCTTAACAATTTTTATGAAATTTGGAGCATAAATAACAACAGATATTTTACAGTTCTTGTCACTATTTAAGCAAAGAATTGTAGAAAATATTGCAAAATTTTCAAGAAGTAGTTTACACTTTCCAAAGTTTTGAAAAATGTTTCTTAAACAGCACACAAGTTACAAAATTATTAGACATATTTCAAAACATTTTTACATTATTGTATTATTACTGAAAACTTTCAAAAAAGACACTGCACTTTGTGAGAAAAAGACACACATTTCATCTGTTATGATATGAATTTCAAGATTAGCATTTATTGTGGTAGTATTGGAAAAAGCATTTCAGAAATTAATAAGCTTTTACAAAATTAGAGTAAAACTTTATAGCATTTTCAACAATCATGATTGCAGAACACAAGTTGATTCATGTTTTAAACTTTTGTACTTTATGTACTATTTACATGTACTTTGTTTAATGTAATATTATGCTATAGTATAATACAATTATTTGTAAAAATTAAAACAGAAATATTATTTTATTGTCATGTAAGTAAGGCAATACATTTTGATAAGTATCTGGAACCTTCTTGTAAACATTTTTACCACAATTGTGTTTTTCATCAATCATATGCTTGAATTCATTGCCAAAAAGTTGACAATTTTGATTTTAAAAATTTCCATATACAATAGTACATCCTCTAAACAATATTGAACTAAATTATTATTTTTTAACATAAACAAATAAATACATACCATTTACAAATTACCTGCTACCATAATGTCTGTCATAGGATTTCTGTTAGTCATATTTGGCTTCTCTTCATTGTAAAATGTAAATGAATCAATTCTAAAATTCATTACCGATATAATAAGTATTACCTTAAAAAGTTATGACTTATTGACATACTGAAAACATATATATTCCAAGTACCATAATACATTTCATATAGATGTTTTGAAATCCAAAACATTTATTTTACTTTTATTATGGTGCCAACCAAATTTTTGCATACAAGAATACTTTTCTGATTAAAGGATGTCCATGAAAAACTTTGACTGATTTAAAACTGGATTATTACTTTAATTTCAAGCAACATACATGTTATTTTTTAGATGATTAATTACGGTGATCATTTGCTAAGTATCAATACATCAGGCTTTGGGATGTTGATACATAGATTATAAAGTAATTTATACTATTGTTGGCTTATTACGTTTTTACATCAGGATTGTAGATGATGGCTTAAGTATACTTTTGTTGGATGATTTTAAACAGAAAATAGTTAATTATTTTTAAGAAAACATTTACAACTTTTCTATTAATGTCACTAGTATGCTCAAATCATCATTGGATAGTTGCCCGGTTTCCACACTCCAGTTCATTTTGAATTGTATATGTCAACAGCATCTCTAAACTCAGTTTATAGTTCATTTGAATCAAATTAGTTGCTAAATTATTGGGCTATTATATGGCATTTTGAGTTGTTTCTCATTTTTAATGTTTTTCTTCTTATTGGTGCTCCCGTCTTTTTGGTGAAGCTTGAATTATGAGAGTTTGGTTTTTCATCAAAATTTGTTATAATTTTTCTTTATGCTGTTTGACTTCGTTCATTGTTATCCTGAATTACATTAAATAAACAAAATAACAACTCATAAATTTCAAGTACAGTAGAGCGTCGTTTATCCGAAACGTCGGTTATCCGAAAGCATTCCAGTCAGCAAATTTAAATTTTTGCTAGTGCTGTGGCGCTGCAATCTTTGGCTATATCTTGGGCTATTCCAATATTTTTTTTTGTTGGTGTGTGTTTTTTAGCTGGCAGCACTGGCACTTTTGTGTGGTGTTTTTCTGAAGACTGTGTGTCCTGCTGAATCAAACGTTTATGATACTAGATCATCATCTAAAGTATATATTTTTTGGTTTTTATATTTTTCAATATATTTATTTTGTTTGTAAGAAATAAAAAAATAATTTTTAACGATACAATAGCCACAATTATTATTTTAAAAAGTATATGTTAGACTTAACATTGACGAAAATTCAACGCGAAGCGACCCGCAACGGAGAAAAATTTCAACACGGGATAGGTTAATATATTTTTTCGTACATAATCGGTTATTCGAAAAATAAGTTATCCGAACAACTCCAGTCCCCAATTGATTCGGATAAACGACGTTCTACTGTATATTTAAAATTCAGTCAGTAGAACAATAATGCCCTCTATAAAATACAATTTAAAAAAAACTCTTCTTGAAATTGTTTTGATATTTTTGTGGACATTCTTTATTTCTTATTTTATTACATTTTAAATTTATTGTATTATTTTCTTTATTAATATAAATATTAAGAAAAATGTTGGAAAATAAAGAATTATATTTATTAATATAAATATAATTTTTTATTTTCCAACATTTTTCTTTACCTGTAACTTTAATTGACTGCTCATTAATATTACATTGATGTTTATTTGTGTGAGAATTCGGACATAAGTGTGAATTTTCGCACTTTGTGTACTGTGTCACATTGAAGGTGACCTTAATCGTCTGAAGAAGGACTCCCCTCTCACCAAGGGATCGTTCAAGTCTCACGTAGATATAAGGTATAGAGAGTAATCAAAAGGTCACCAATGAGGCTAAAACGATATCCCATACTCACCTCTAAGTCCGAGTGACCCGGTGAGAAAGTCGATCTAAATGCCCAAATAAGGCAATGATTTTTCTAAGGGAGTGAGATGTAGTTGGACATAAGGCACCTCATGTCAATAAATCAGGGAGTTTGACAATTTTATGATGGGAAGATATTAACTATTGGAAGAAAAGAATGACAATAATGTAAACACAGCTGTATGCAAGTAGAGCTGGCGATTGCATCAGATGTCTTTCCCCATGATTCCCCCTCCAAGATAAGTATAAAAAGGGGTGAAATTTGCATCTCCAACATGGACAGCCGAAGAGAACCTCTTAACTCAGAGATCAACAGAGCGTACACCCACTACGGACATATCGTCCATCGCTCTATACTGCCATCCAAGGAAACTTTGATTAGAAACTGCCGATCCCAGTGCGTCCTATCAATGCCCTAAACAAAGAGATCAAATCTTACGAGGTATACCCTTGCCCGAATTTTGTCCCTCTCTCCCTCCTGTGTCCCTCTTAGAGAGGTCTCTCTTGGTCTTTGGTATTAGGTTAGAGCATAGATATAGAATAGATTCCTTTTATTATTTATGCATGTGTTGTTTATGCTTTTTCCTTTGATATGTATAATCTCTTAGTTGTTTAGTAAATGTGTTATTTTCCAACTTGTGTAGTTATTTGGACACCTCGTCACGACCTCTCCCCACTCGATTTGCCCTCCTAAGCCATCCGACAAACTGATAGCAGGTTTCGCCAACTCGTTCATATTAAGTGGTCATTAGGGATCATCCCAGTGGCCTGGCTCCCTGCTAACTCAACATTTGTATGTAAATAAACTAGGAATGATGATTTAATTTTTATACTGCTAAATGTTATTTTAATTTAGTGTGTAATATTCTCAAAGCTTCTCTTGAGTGACAACTGGAAACAAGCTCTTTGCACTCAAATTTATCAACTAATTATTCTATTTTTAATCTTGTATTAATCCTATATTTTAATATTAACAAATTACTTACTTTTGATTTTAACTCTGGTACTACTTGAGCCTAATGTTGTTTAAAGAAACTTTGTATAATCTCATAAAGGTTATAAAAGTCTTCTATGAAAACCATTTATAAGTTTATTTTATTTGTTTATATAAAAAGTAATGGAGTACAATAAATTTTTAAGGGCTTCCTTCTCTATTTTAAATTTTTTATTATACCATCTTAATAATAAATAATACGGGTAATTTAACTGTCCTATATATAATGTTTTCTTTTTCTTTTTTAACTATATTATGATCAGTTGTCTTGTTTATGGATTTAAGCATTACAATTTGAAAGATGTTTACAGTCGACCCCCCTATAATTACGGTCCCTATAATTACGATTCCTATAAAACTACGAAAAAATATACGTATTTTGGAAATGTTGAGTCGGATTAGTGTAGAATCGATTAATTTTATGGAAGAAAACCTTTCAATCAGCCGTAGTCCGTAAACTTGACACGTGTCGGGCTGTGATTGGAACGACTTGTANTGATCTCATTTGACTTTTAGCAAGTTATAAATAACTGACAATTGTTACATAAAGTCATCATTCATGAATCCTATTGTAACATAATACTTTAAAAAAATATTTTTAGTGTTATATAAAATATGATTTTTGTATAGTTAATTTTTATAAACCCTTCAACATTTTTTGTGAAGTTATTTTTAGCTTAATGAATAAACTAAATAAAATATTTTTTCTTTATATAAATAAAAAAAATAAATCAACAAACTAAAAAATAAATCTATAAATTTTTGTTAATGATTTTTAGTAAAAAAAAATAATAAAATTACAGAAAAACACATCAATCATGTACAACTTATTAAAAAAAATAAATTATTTAATTTTATAAAGTAGCTTAGCGAGTAATAAATTTAAATTTAATTTAATCAATTTTTACTTACTTTCTCGATTAAAAATTAAATACATATTTTCTATATTTACGACTTTAAATTAAGCCGTTTACAATCGATCCTTCTGATAAGCATCTTTAAAAATACAGTAAAACCTCGATTTAGTGCCCCCCGAAATAGCGCAACTCTAGTAAAGTGCTAATGGATATTTATAGCCGAATCTTCTTTATAATGCAGAACTTTTTAAGTTTTTAAATATACAATTTTGCATTGAAAATACATTGTTATCACCAAATTACTTCAGTTTAGCGTTACACTCGATTTATTACCGATTTCAGAGGCAGACAGTGGCGTTAAATCGAGATTTAATCGTAATGTATAATATAAAGTGGAGGAAAGAAGATAAAATTTATGTCTAAACAATGATCTACAAAGGACAATTATAACTTAAAATAAAAGTAAAATAAATATGACTTTATCTCTGGCCTTCATACTCTCCAGATTCTTTAAATGTACCACATATCTCTGCAGATAAGACAAAATAACTTTAATTAATTATAACTTAAAATAAAAGTAATTTAAATATGACTTTATCTCTGGCCTTCATACTCTCCAGATTCTTTAAATGTACCACATATCTCTGCAGATAAGACAAAGTATAAATTTTTGTCGAAGTTTTATAGTTTTAGCATATATCTATCCTATAAGATGACCCCCAAACTATCAACAGCCTATGAGTTTAGTTTAGATCAGCGATTATCATCTGAATAATAATACTGTATAGTGTTTACAGAATTATGTCCCATTTGTAATTTTTTGAATGAACAGATTTTATTTTCTTGCATCTGGCAGCAGTGCAAATGTTTGCAACAATCGCACTGATTCAGCATTCGGGTAATGACTTTGACTATTCACAAAAACGTCATATGGGCTATTCTATTTCATGCACATACCCTGCTCTTTACTAGTAAATAATTAAGGTTTGTCTATTTTTTTATAATAGTTTTAATTTATATAAATTTCAATCTAATTTTTTGTATCTGTCCTATTAAATGACCCAGGATTTTGGGGGCCTTTTTTTATGATTCAACTATTGTCTTATCTGTCGAGATATACGGGGTATTTACATCATAGGTAATTCACAATAGATTCATTTGTTAACAAAAGTCATGAGGTTGTGGTTGTAACTGATAAATTTGAAAATTAATTATCCATAGTATATATATTTATTTTACAAAGCTACAGTTTCCTTTATGTATAGTTTTAATAAAATTCATGTTTGGCCCAAGATTAGGTCAAGTGTGAATCAAAACAGTGTTCTATGTATGGCCCATTAATATAGAAAGGTTGCTTATGTGTGGTATAATCAAACAATGAGATGAAAGAATTGAAAATGTTTTAATTTTGACTCCCTAAATTTTGTTAGTGGTGGTGGTAATTTATTTAAGATATTAAAATGGAATCACTAATTAGATAGAAAATATTTTTTAGACATTTGATAATTTCAACTGCAAGAAAAGTTGTTGATTATTTATGTACCAAAATAAATTTATTTAGATTTTTGTTTACATTTCTTTAGAATGAAAGTAAACAAGAATTGTGTTTTATTACATAATAATAATTAAATTAATTTGAATATTTAGGGTTGTGATCGACAGGCTCTGGTTTGGGATATGCGTACTGGTCAGTGTGTGCAATCTTTTGAAGGACATGAAGCTGATATAAATACTGTAAAATTTTATCCTAGTGGAGATGCTATTGCTACAGGTTCTGATGATGCAACGGTAAATTATTTTAATGATTTTGCATAATGTTCTCAAATCTACTCACTACATTATTTACATGAATGCATGAAATAATTATATGTACCAGATAAAATATGAGACAATAATCTTTTGTTGTCACTTTAATGACTAAGAACAAAATTAAATGAAAAGCAAGTATTCTCAGTTAATAAATTTATGTTCATCAAGCAAAAGATGTAACTTGAATGGAGTACAAATATACAAATATTCCATTTAAGTTATACCTTTTGCTTGATGATGATAAATTTCATTGACTTGAGAGTATTTGCTTTTAGTTTACATTTTGTGATTTTATTTATTAAAATAATAAAAAAGATGGTTGTCTCCTGTTTTTTCAGTCATAAATCTTGATGTGTATCACTGTTATCTTTTTATAGTTATTAAGTATTTACTTTTACATTCTGTTACACATTTTAGTATTATTTTTATTGTTTTATTGAATTTTTTCTTATTGAAATAAAAATGACTGTTTTCTAATTGAGATATTATTATGGATCATATTAATATACATTCATTTAAGTTATCTTATTTATTAGCTATTCATTTTGCAGATTAATGTTTGGAAATGTTGAGTCGGATTAGTGTAGAATCGATTAATTTTATGGAAGAAAATCTTTCAATCAGCCGTAGTCNACACACACTACAGAAAGCCACTATGTTGAATACATGTCATACTGTTAGGAAATTCCTGAATACAGACACTGGCACACTTATTTAATTTTAGTTTTGTTTTGGTTGCTTTGTCTTGACTCAGGTCCGGCATAGTACACAGCCACCGGTGTGTACTGAGTATAATTCACTAAACTCCGCATAATAATAATAATAGATAAATGATTTAATAGAGATTAAAAAACAGATTATACATACCACTAACAGAAAAATCAACAGAATTGACACCAAATATAATACTTTGCTTTGAATATACAGCTACTTCTCTATCTGCTCGTAAATCAAACAATCGACACTGTAAAAAAAAGAAAATAACAACATAGGTTTACCAAAATTCCTAAAATTTTTATATACTTTTATATATACTATATATAAAGTATATATAGTATATAATATATACTATATATACTTTATATATAGTATATATAAAAGTATATAAAAATTTTAGGAATTTTGGTAAACCTATGTTGTTATTTTCTTTTTTTTACAGTGTCGATTGTTTGATTTACGAGCAGATAGAGAAGTAGCTGTATATTCAAAGCAAAGTATTATATTTGGTGTCAATTCTGTTGATTTTTCTGTTAGTGGTATGTATAATCTGTTTTTTAATCTCTATTAAATCATTTATCTATTATTATTATTATGCGGAGTTTAGTGAATTATACTCAGTACACACCGGTGGCTGTGTACTATGCCGGACCTGAGTCAAGACAAAGCAACCAAAACAAAACTAAAATTAAATAAGTGTGCCAGTGTCTGTATTCAGGAATTTCCTAACAGTATGACATGTATTCAACATAGTGGCTTTCTGTAGTGTGTGTGGTATGACACCTGTAGAGGAAAGAACAACAGGTACAATAAGCACCCTATCCATCCTCCACTGATGCCTTATTTCCTGGGCGAGTTCTGTGTACTTGCTAATTTTTTAGTGAATGTGTTTTGTATATTGTGAGTGTTTGGAATGGATATAGCTATAATGTATGTGATTTTATTGTGTTTGTCAATGAGTGTGATGTCTGGTCTGTTGTGGTAAATTATTTTATCTGTGATTATGGCTCTGTCATAGTAGATTTTGTGTGTGTTGTTTTCCAATACTGTCTGTGGAATGTATTTGTAGTATGGTTGGTGGATGTCTAATAATTTGTGTTTCTTTGCAAGCTCTTGGTGATGTGACATTTTCTGCATATGTCATTTGTGAGTTTTGTATCTTTGAATATGTGTTTTCTGTAGTTTTTAGTATTTATGACCTGATCCTGTATGGCAATCATGAATCCTTCCGTCTCCCCAAAGAGGCATCCCCGATCTAACCAGCTGTTTGACGCAGTTTTGTCAACAAAATCCTNTTTGAGTATGTGTTTTCTGTAGTTTTTAGTATTTATGACCTGATCCTGTATGGCAATCATGAATCCTTCCGTCTCCCCAAAGAGGCATCCCCAATCTAACCAGCTGTTTGACGCAGTTTTGTCAACAAAATCCTGGGCCAGGTTATAAGGATGCCTGCCATGGAGTGCCTTTTGAACCCACGATTGCTTGATGGTGTCTATGCTTTTTATACGTTGTGTCATGTCTGTATGATGTGAGTGTAAGTTTAATGGTTTGTTATTTGAGTCTGCTAGAGTTACTGCTTTATGTAACTGTGATGTTTCTTGTTTCTTGTATTCAATAGAAAAAACTCAGTGACTGTATTTGTATATAGTGAAGGTTTATAATGTCAATGAGGCCTCATCTTCCATCTTTACATGGAAAGGTTAATCTTTCTGTGGCGGATTTAGGATGATGATGTTTATGTTTAGTAAGTGTTGTCCTTGTTTTCCTTTGAAGTTGCTCGAGATCTGTGTGAGTCCAATGTATAACTCCAAAAGAATATGTGAGTACTGAGATGACATATGTGCTTATTGCTTTAACTGAATGTTTTGCATTTAATTGTGTTCTGAGAATAGCATTCAACCTACTTTGGTATTCTTTAATTAATCTTTGCTTTATTTGTGTATGTTCTGTTAGTTTGGTCTGTTGGAATCCTAATACTTGTAGAACTTACCCTCCTCCGTGGATTCAATAACATTTCCATTTCAAAGTGCAAAATCTTCTTTTTTCAGGACTCCTTTTTCTGTGTGAAGTGTTTTGCATTTGTTTAGACCAAACTCCATTAGTATGTCCTTGGTGTATGAATGTGTGATTTGTAGGAGTTAATGAAGTTGTTTTTGTATGATGCATAAAGTTTTATGTCGTCCATGTACATGAGATATGACAGTGTAAACTGTGTTGTTTTTTCATGTCTGATATTGTAGCCATATTGTGTGTTGTTTAACATATTGGATAATGGGTTCAGGACTAAGCAGAACCAGAGAGGATTCAAGGAATCTCTCTGAAAAATTCCTTGCCTAATGAATATTTGGTTTGTTTGTATGAAAGTGTTATGAATCTTGAGATGTAGTGTTGTTCTCCAGTGCTGCATAGTGTTTTGGAAGAATGCAATGAGGCAATGAGTGATAGATGTATTTTGTACATGTGTAGAATATGTAGCAGCCAACTGTGTGGAACACCGTCAAATGCTTTTCTGTAGTCTATATATGCCATGTGTATGTTTCCGTGTTGTTTGTGTGCTTGCCGTAGAATGACTGAATCTATGAGTAACTGTTCTTTTTATCCCGTGATTTCTATGGCAACCTTTTTATTGTACTGTAAGAATGTCGTGTTCTTTAACATGTTTGTATAATTTTTTGCAATACAGGATGTCAATAATATGTAGTGTTTTAAGACATGTAATTGGTCTGTATTGTGTGGGGTCTGTGATATTGTTGTTTTTAGGTTTCATGTAGGTGATGCCCTGAGTAAGAAATTTTGTCATGTCTTGTGGATTGATGATGATGTGTGTTAGATGTTTAGCTAGTTCCTGGTGCAGTGATGTAAATTTTTTGTACCAGAAATTGTGAATGTTGTCTACACCAGGTGTCTTCCAGTTGTGTGTTCTGTTAACAGTGTAGAGGATGTTGTGTATGATTATTTCAGCATAGGGCATAGTTGGTATGTTGTGCAAGTTTCTGTTCTTCTCCTTGATCCAGTCTGCATCAGCATTGTGTGTAACAGCTTTGGACCAAAGAGAAGACCAATAAGTTGTGAGTTCTTCTTCTGTTGGTGTGCCATTGTGCTGTGTATCAATGTTTGTTTTGGTACTAATTTGTCTGTAAAAGAGTTTTTCATTGTAAATAATTTATTTTGGTGTTTTTGTAGTGAACATGTTTTGTATTGTTTGAGTCTGTGCTTTGGCTGCGAGTTTCTGTTTTAGTGTATCAATGTATTCTGTAATGTGTGTAATGTAATGTTCATGTTTTGTGTGTGTTTTGATTTTCTTGAAAATGTTTTTGAGTTGTTTCTTTAATTTCGGTGTTACATTGTTTTTAGTGTATTGTGTCAGCCTGCATAATTGCTGTCTAATGTCATTTATTTGTGTTTCTATTCTTCTCTGCCAGGTAGGCTTGTGATAGAATTGTGTTTTGTGTGTATCTATCTGTGATTGTATTGTCAGTTCATGGTGTGTCACTACTGTGACTGCTCCAGCATAAACTAATGTATGAATGTCTGAGAGTGTAGAAATTAAATGGTAGTGTGGTAGTAAGTGAGTGTTTACATAATTTAGTGTTTTTTCCTACTATCTTGGATGTGTTGATTTTTGGTATTTGTGGTCTATGTGTGGGATCTGTACCTGAATATTTAGTGAGTGTTTCCTGAAATATAAGTGAGAGTGTATTAACTAAATCTATGTCTATGTTATCAGTGGTGGATGAGAAAGTGTCTGTAGTAACATTAGTGGTAGTTGTTGTGTTTGTACTATTATCACTGCTTGTTGCTGGATTATTTTAGTTACATAATCTTCATTAATGTTAAATGTTTCTGTCTGTTGATGTGTTTGATCAGCAACCTGTTGTTTGATAAGTTTGAGTGTTGTTTGTGGGATAAGGTTGTTGTGTATAATTGTTTTTTTTTTATCAACAACCCTTTGTTAGGTGGCGATGAGGTGAGGATATTGTTATGTGAATCTATGGTGTAGTTGTCTGTACATTGTCATGTTTGTTTCGAGTCTTGTGGTGGTGTAATAAGTACGGATGATAAACTTGTTTGTTTAACGAAACCCATTGTGATGGGCATGGGCATGCGCACTCATGCATGGATGGTGGTATTTGAAGGCCATCATCTATACATTGGCCTTTAATACACTAAACATAAAGAACAGCTGTAGGAGATGTCCTACAATCTTCAACATCCTCAGAAATGGAAAGGACTCTCCGGATTGTAATGGACTTCCTGGTGTGTACTCCATCCCACTCAAAGATGGCAGATGGGACAAGAGCCTTATATATATCAGTTCCACTAAGCGCTCCTTAAATACTAGAATACATGAGCACCAAGTGGACCTTTGACACAGGTGACACATTACTGCCCTGTGGCCACCTATGCATTTGATCCAAACATCTCATTTGCGATGTTGGCAAATGCACCACTACTTAACAAAAGTTTATCTAAGCAACAAGTTTTAGAAATACATGAAGCACTACTACTAATAAAAGAAAACAATTATTTTTGTTTTAGTAACCAAATTTATCTTCAAAAACAGGGATTGCCAATGGGTTCTCCACTATAAGCAATACTTACAGAATTAATCATGAGAAATATTGTATTCAGAGTTTTTTCTGGCACCTTTATTAGTTCAGTAACCACTACTATATATTAGTTATGTAGGTAATATATTAATAGTTGTGGGATAGAACTAATTTCAAACTTTTGCAGTTTATACAGCAATTATCTCATATAGACACTTCAGTCAATTTTACTGTAGAAAAAGAAAAAGATAGCAGCATCAGTTTCCTAGATTGCCTAATACAAAAAATGCATGAAGGAGTTTGTTTCAATGTATATAATAAGTTTAATCTATATTCTCATATTATATCAGCAACTTCATTCCAATCACCTAGCTACATAAACAACACCATAGCTGCACTTATTCGTAGAGTCTACATATTACCATCATCGCAACATTTGGTAAGAAAAGAGTTACAATTTATTAATATGGCAATCTGTAGGGCAGAAAATACTTACACAAAATTCAAGTGCATTCACACCCATGTACAAAAATCCCTGTTTTCACCATCAAAATTAAAAATAATAAAAAAGGATTGCATTTATATAAGCCCTTCCATCTCGTATCTTGGGTCTGTGTTCTTATACATTACCAGATTTCAAAAGTCAGGATTTAACCTTTCAATAAAACTACAGCTACCCTAATGCAGAATACTATGTAGTGCTAGAGATAACTTAACTAAATTAGAAAAATCAGGCATATACATAATTCCCTTACAACACCAAAACAATGATAGAAAAAGTGATATATATCAGGGCTGTAGCTAGAAAATTGCAAAGCTGTATAGTAGAACATCAAGATGACATTTGTAAAAATAAAATTTCCACAGAACTGTCTAGAAGGGTTTTCAGTCATTACTTTACACCTCTGTGGAATGAATCTTCCATTTTTGTATAATGTGAGAACTGCAACTGTTTACTCATCTGGGAAACATTATTTATTGAGAAATTGGAGCTGTGTAATAAGCCCACTCTAGAGCTCCAAAAAATTTGGATTTCACTATTTAATAATTTAAAAAAATTAAATCTCTTCTGCCAATAATTTTCAATAATAGTTTGACTGTTAATTAAATGTTTAAGTGTAATAGCACACCATTTAAATTTAACATGTGTGTTCTAATTAGTACAGATTAATGTTAAACATTTAACAAGTAAATGACCACAAATTCATTTTGCTGGACCTGTGCAGCCACATTATCTTATTTTATATTCAAATACTGAGCATAAGTTGGGAGCTCTATCCCCCTTTTTAAGCCAAAAGTTGTTAGAATCTGTCAATGGCAACCCTCAGAAAATTCAAAAATTATGATGTGATGATCTTATATAAACAGTATCTGCAAACAATCTGAGAAATTCGTGAAAACAAAGACGTAGGAGATATCTCAATTACTCAGTTTTTTTCACATGCCATGCTTAACTTTTCTTGGGGAGAGATATCAGAAAGAGATTGCCTTTCCATCCAAAAAATGCCCATTCTTGACAGAAATGTGTATTCTTGAGAGACTGGCTGATGAAGGAGTAGTGGCAGTTCGTTATATTAACATGTATAAAGATGGGCAACAGATCACCAGAAACAATAAAATTTTGACATTTTACACTCCTGAATTTCCATCTTTCATATTGCTGGATATTTGCAATGTCCAGTTCATCTGTACATACCAAACCTGTTATCAATGCCAACAGTTTGGTCATTCAAAGGCATCTTGCTAGAGAATCTATCTTTGTGCCAGAGGTGGACTTTCAGGTCACAAAAGTACCACGTATGGTGTTTACCCTTGTTGTATGAATTTCAAGAAGACCATCCCTTCTGTTCATGTACTTGTCCTTTGTGGCAGAACAAAAAACAAATACAGGAATTAAGTCTTGTGGAACATTTTTTATGTCAAGGCTAGAAAGATCGTAATGCCTCATTGGCAACAGCAACAGACATCCTATGCTACTGTGGTAAATCCGTCCAATCTCTGTTCAAACAAATATTTCTGTATCGCCATATGAATCCCTAATACAACATGAGCAATGCTTGATAAGTCAACTTGATCCGCAGCCAAAACAGAAAACAAGCACTAAATCCTTGACCAGTACAAAACAAACTCCAGCTCAAAAGAGTAATGGCATTATATCTCCTAGCAAAAGAGCGGTCATTAAAAAGACAGCAGTATCAAATACCCCACTCTCTGTGAGTGAATTCTCTGACTATTCCATAGCCTGCGAAGATACAGAACTAGTCTCCCCTCCAAGTTGGAGCAAAGTGACTCTTACAAGGGACCTGGCATGTGCTAAACACTCACTGTCCCAATATTATTTTATATTACATATATATAGCACATGCTACATATAAAAATAAAAATATATATATACAGTAGAACCTCCATTATCCGGATTGTTCAAAATAAACAAAAATTTTACGAATTTGCTGATTTGCACTTGGCGAATTATGACACTGTTTATGTACGTGATGGAATGCATAACATTTTTTGTTTCAACAACGTCTCACCCGGCACAGTGGTCGTAAACTCTTAAATATATTTTACGTAGTAATAAAAATATAACTTGACATACGTATTTATAAATAATTTATATTCAAATTACATCATTTCTATGACCAAGGGCGGCGTAAGGCATGGACGACGTGGGCCACCGCCTATGCCTCGCGGTCCGAAGGGCCTCGCGCCTCGAAGGTTTATGCATTACTTAAAAGCCGCGAACGCGACGAAAAAATTTTACTCGTCATAAAACGATAAATAGTTTGTCAAATTTTTATTCATAAAAATGCAGTTTCAACTGCTTTTTATTTTATAAAATCCGTCTTCTTGCGCCACCAGAGGGCCTTTTAAACAATAGGTAGTCTGTTAGCGTTGGTCAGTAGTAGTCCAAATTCAATACGAACGTTTGTTTCTTGAAAATTTGATCACGATTTAAATACAGTATTTACTTTTAATATTACCGATATGTCATCGAAAAGAAAACGTGTTGTATTATCATTAAAAGACAAATTAAAGTATTTGTTTCGATTATCCGGATTTTTCCTTATCCGGACTACCTTCATCCCCAATTAGTCCGGATAATCAAGGTTCTACTGTATATATTTTTTTATCACTAACACATCAATTTATTGCATATTGCTATTTTATATTTTCTACATTTGTTAATCAACAAATGTAGAAAATATACTTTTAAAGAGTTTTTTAACATTTTTATACTAACTTTGTACTTGCTATCTTATTTTACTTCAATTTAATTGTATTGTGGCACTTGTTTTCTGTTATTTTATACATATGCATTTCTTATTTTTGATTTTGTTGAATGATTTTAGGCAACTTTTAGTATTTTTATATTATTTTTTAGTTTTTTTACGTAGTTTTATGATTTTATTTACTGATTCTTGGTAATTTTATCTTACATATTTTCGACTTTTTATGTCTGTGACTTAATAATCATATGGTTGACACAGCTTAGTCCAAAAGGCCCTTGCTCTATTAAAAGGCAATAAACCAAACCTGAGAAATATCTATAGGAAATAGTGGGAGGAGAATGATACAGCTAATAATCTGTTGCACCGATTCTGACTTATTTTTCTATACTAAGTAGATTTAATGAATGGAAATTAGTAATAGTTAGAAATAGTAAAAATGTTAAAGCTATTTCTATTTCGTATTTACGATTTTAAGTGATCTTGCTATCAATTTTTCAGTTCCGATTTTATTAAGTTTAATTTTATTCACTTTTACATATTAATTTTTATACTTATATATTACTAATATAATATTAGTAATATAATTTATACTTTGGAAGATTAACACTTCATAAAATTTATTAAAATTTAATTGCAGTTTTGAACTTTATTTTTACTACAGTAGTCAATTAATTCTGAGTGTCATAAGCTGCCATTCAATAGTTTTTACACAATAATTTCTCTCTCTCTCTCTCTCTCTCTTACATTTGTATTTATTATACGCCAGTCTTTTTGTATAGTATAATGCACGATTAATAATTTTTTTTTATGCAGGTCGCTTGCTATTTGCCGGTTATAACGATTACACCGTTAATGTATGGGATACATTGAAATGTGTTCGTCTGAATATTTTGTACGGTCATGAAAACAGAGTAACTTGTTTAAAAGTCTCGCCAGATGGAACTGCATTATCCACCGGAAGTTGGGATTTTACATTAAGGGTATGATTAAAATATTTTTAAAAATTTTTCCATTGTTTCGTATTTCAAAATTTAAAGAATGCTGATAGATAACATGTAGTATTTATCGAAATTGATTATTAAATATTACGTTTGATTAAAGTATAAATTTAAAAAAATGTGATTAAGAACTAATGTTTACACGAAACTGATAATCTTTTATGTATGTATTGAAGATCTAATAGAGAGAAATGAAAATTATCAATAATTTAATTATTAACTTAAAAATTGTTAATAATATAGGTTTAAGTATTTAATAAAAATAATACTTTTATGATTTTAAGACGTAAAAAATTTACTTTTAATTAATTAAACATTCTTCTATTTTATATTCTTCTTTGATGTTTTACATACATCAACTTCACAGATGGTAGAAAAAGTCCTTCTTGGATACTTTGATACAAATCATAACTTGCTATCATCAATAGTAATCTGGTGATGCTTTGTGGAAACATTATCACATTAACAGCATCACCAAATTACCAATTCTTACCCCACAATTAACTTTGCTCGTATTTTTTATTTTTGTATAATCCTTATTCAAAGGTTATGCTTTAACTGTTTGATAGGTGTGGGCTTGAACGCTTTGCTTTGTAGAAAAGGAAGGAAGGATTATAGCACCAGAAGAGCTATCCGAAAACAGCACCTGGTGAATTCCGTTAGGATGTGAACATTCCATATCCATCTTTCTTTTGTAATAATCAGATCTGGGTGTTCAGACTCCAGCTCTATCTACCAAAGATTCGCTTACAATAGAATTACTGCCTGCTGGCCCCTTTATTGTTTAGGATGTGACGTATATCAATATGTTATGGCTGCCAGGTAGGTATTTGCTGCCAATGCGTGTTATGTACTGTACCTAGGCTTTCACGATTATACGGACGACGACTTTATTCGGCGGATTATAACCAAATGACTAATTGTCTAGTAGGCATCATCTTCCTTATCGATTTAATTGTACTTAATATATTTACGAATAGTTTCCGGTTTATTTTTTCAGACGAATACATTAAAATAGGTAACGACGAACCGATTAAACCAACTTTTTACGGATTAAAATCGATCTCCACCTCTACTTAAATTGCTAGATAATTTTATGTCATTCTTTGGCGGATCGACATTTCTGTAAACAATAGAATGCGTTAAGTTATAAGTTATCAAGGGGACCACTTCTGATATTCTGTGAACGTAAATTTGATTTAATTATCTGCGTTGTCATTTTAATATAAATAGAGATAGCATCCTCATAAACTTCATATATATATATAATATATACACTATATCCGGATAGCTTTGCATAGAAGAACTATGCATAACATTTCCTTGATCTTTTCAACAGCGTTATTTTCACGACGGAACGTTTTAGTTGGATTATAGTCATTACGCTTATTTTACCATGAAATTATTACGAACTTTTTGTGGCAATATATTAACATCCGGATAGCTTAAGACAGACGAAAAGCTAGTCATTGTTTCGTATTGATTTTAGACATATCATCTATTTATTTCTTTTGTTTTTTATCTTTAGATATTTATATCCAATTATTTTGTTATATTGGACGAATTTTAAAAGTTCTAACGGGCCATATTTTAAGTCATTCGTCAACAATCTAGAGCTTCGAGTGTAGAAAGATAGCTTTTGTACCGAAGCGGTTCGTGTGGGCATAATACACTTCCTAGATTAGACGGGTGATAAGATTTAGAGACGAGAAAACCCGGGCGTCGTTTAAAAACATTTAGTACGCAGCGAACGAGAAAAACAATTAACCAAAACAACAGCCGGGAAACCATTTTATGTGATATCTGTACAGAGTGATATGTGTAAGTAGATCAATTAATAGTCGGCCAATCATCTTCATAAAATGAATATTTTCATTCATTGTGTAAAACGAGTCGAGATTGTTGTGAATTTTACTCAGCTGTAAACTGTATAATAACCGAATATAAAATAAATTACTGGTACTGTCACACCACGCAAGCTAAATTATATTGAATTCGTTTGATGTATATAAATAAATAGGAATGTCAGCGATGCACTAAATATATGCCATTTAATATATTATGTAATAAGACGGTAGATTTAAGAGTTAGAAAGGATTTGAAAAACTAAGTTTGTATATTCGGTGGGTGGCATTTTTCTTCCGTCGTCCCGCACTCCGGATCTTCGTTAACACGGAAGAGACTAGTTTCGAAAGTCGGATGCGCTTAAATTTGAATATGTATCTTTAAAACGGTAACAATGCTGCCAAAGTTGTACGAGAATAACTTTAGCCATCTCTATGTTTATCTGTAAGGTATATCGTCTAATTAGTGACTACGAATTCACCCCCCACCGCCATGGCCTCCACGCGTCTTTTATGATTAAACGTTATAACAAAAGTAATTTCGCCGGTAAGGTCGAAGTTTATACGGATGTGAAATGAATTCGATCGAGGGGCGCCAAGAGAAAGAAAGCAGTAGTCACGAATTAGACGTTAATTGAGTGAAAGTTTTGTGACCATTGTGTTAGTTTTCTTTTTGTTTGGTTAACCAACGATTCCGGTGCAATATTTTTGTATCTTTGTTTAAGTACAGTACATCCCGTGCAATATTCGTTCTCGCATTCCCTGTACCTCGCGAATTTTTTTCCGACTGCAAAGAGATATAGCTTGGTTTTCCTAACGACTGCATTTATTTATTTATTTATTTTATTTTTTGCTTTTTTGTCAAAAATAGAATTGTAAAAAGAGAAGTGTCAAGTAACTGATTGGATACTCTCTTACTTTTTCAAAGTTTCGTTCTGATAAAATAAATAAAATTTGCAACCATCTCTCTCTCTTGTCTGGTCTGATATTTAGTTTTTCGTCCACTCGTAAAGCGTTTATACAAAATTTATATTTTTCTGACGTTTGGTCACGCAAATAATGAAATATTTAAACAATTTTGTTTTATTAAACTGCGCGAAAATTTATTCGAACTCCGTTCAAAGTAAGTTCACTCGATACTTCGGAGTTCAGATTCGAATATCAATTTTCGATCGTTCCGAAGAAATGCCAGTACTTCACCGAAACCCATACAATATAAATTATGTAAAGACGTCGGCGATTGGGCGAAACGAGTCACCTAACGATAAAGTATCTAGCGCTTGTTCGTAATACCCAGTACAAAGTGTTAATTCCGAGATCATTTATTATAAACCTAAGCGTGGAAAGTTCCTACTTAAGAAAATCTCGTCGAATCGCGACTTCGTAAGAATCGGAGACGAGATGGTTTTTAACGAACACTTCGGCCTTAACTATTGATATAACAACGATGTCGGGTGTTAGGGTCTTAACGAAACGACTTTTACTACAAACCGAACGACGGGTAGAAATCAACCTGTCGGTTGAAGGTTTCGTCACGTAAATCGGAAAACTCGGATTATTATCGGCGACGGAGAACATAAATTTAAAAGTCTTGTAATTTGTTCATTCAAATTGTATTACTCGTAGACCGAAAGAAACTCCTCGTTATACACAATTGTCGTTCGACACCTCTGGTTTTAGCTTAGGACGGATGGCCAACCTTTTTCACTCCGCGTGCCGTATTGTTATACAGTGGTACCTCAGGATACGAAATTAATCCGTTCCGAAACTGAGATCGTATCATGAAAATGCCGTAAGGTGGATCATCTTTTCCCATACGATTACATGTAAAACCAAATAATTCGTTCCAACGCGAAAAACATACTCAAATTAAAGCCAAGTAATACATTAAAAAAATAACTGTAGTAAGAAAAACAAATGAAAAATGCGAACTAATGTAACCTCGTATGGTGAGTTTTTGTTCGTATCGTGGAGCAAAAATATGTTCGAATTTCATGTCGTATCCTGAAAATTTCGTATGCTGGGGCGTTCGTAACCTGAGGTACCACTGTATTTGTTTTAAAAATGTTTACGCGTGCCGAAGTTTCAAACTTCGAATAACGATATTTATAGATCTAAACAAAAACGTGGAATGTAATATATGTTTCGCCAAGTAAAAATTTATGACAATTTAGACAATGGTCAAAGTTTTTCTTAGAAGTTTTCCCTCGGTAAAGACAGCTTGGCGCTTTGAAGCGGTACCCACGATTTTTATTTGCATTTAATTTACATTTCTCCTTTAAGCGCCAAGCTGTCTTTACCCAGGGAAAACTTCTAAGAAAAACTTTGACCGTCGTCTAAATTGTAAATTTTTTACGTCTCGGTGTTTTTCGTTGGATATCAATTGTCTTCCTCCTAATTGTATGTCGTCAAGACGAAAAGTTTTCGCGTATCGAAAACTAAATTTTTCTAAATTGTGCGCCGTTTTCGAAAAATCGTTATAGAAAGTTTTAATCGGCATAAATTTGAGCTTTTTTAATTCCGAGTAACATTTTGAATAAAATTCATTTCTTACCGTTCAATTTTTTGTGAGCATAAAATTAAGCCGTAAATCTGAATTAGCTCTATGGGAAATCCCCGTGAACTTCGATCTATCGATCCGGAAGTTTGGCCGTTCGGTGCCGGATGAATAAAAAGAAGAAAATTCGGCTTTTTTGCACTTTTCGATTGCTTATGCTTCGGCAACCGTTTTATAAAAAAAATCTCGAAATTTTGCACACTACCAAAGAAAATACAGTAGAGCGTCGATTATCCGAATCAATTGGGGACTCGGAAGATCGATGTTTCGGATAACCGATTATGTAAGAAAAAATATATTAATTTATCCCGTGTTGAAATTTTTCTCTGTTGCGTGTCGCTTCGCGTTGAATTTTCGTCGATGTTAAGCCTAACGAAGACTATTGTATCGTTAAAAATTATTTTTTTATTTTGTACGAACAAAATAAATATATTGAAAAATATAAAAACAATAAAAAATTATACTTCAGAAGTTAATTTAGTATCAAAAATGTAAAATATTTGAGTAGCCGAAGACATAGCCAAAGATTACAGCGCCACAGCGCTGGCGAAAATTTAAATTTGTCGACGAATTCTTTCGGATAAACGACGCTCTACTGTATTCTGATTCGGGTGTTTGAGGGCGGAGAAATCGACAACTCTGATTCCTGTGTATATAGTCAGTCGGTGAGTTTTTAGTTGGCGGGGAGTAAACTGCGGTGTTGTCCCGAAAATGAAAAGAATATGCTTTAATTAGAATGAATGCAGAGATGCCGATCGAGAAACGGGTGATCGGGTGATAATCCGAAATCATTTGATACGTTACCTGCCACTCTTGGCCTAGGATTACCGCACCACGTCGTTTACGCGGACGCTCCCTCGCTTTGCCAGTAAAAGTTACCATCGCACGCGCTCGGGCCAATTTCCCGTTCTTTTCGTATTTTCGTACGTTTCGAGGTAAGAAAACTTTTTTCCCCTCTTGGGAGCGGGAGAAAAAATTAAAAATGTCAAAAACGAGCAATCATTGCTGTGACGTGGTCACAATGCTGGCTTCAATTTTTAATTTTTGTTTAAAAATATATGCTCTCCACCTCAAATTAGTAGTGGCTCGCTCCCTACATCATACTTTTTTTCCGTTAGCGATAGAGTCGTGCGGGTCATGTAACTCCTTTCGGGGAAAATTTTTGAGTCGAGATAACATGACTTCTGGTTTGCATGGGACGTTCGTATATAGTTAATCGGGGCCTTCTACCACTAAGCTTTCCGTATCTGCTCTTGAATTTCATTTATCTAACACCTTTCTCGAGATTAAAGAAAGACGGACAACGGTGGAAATTTATAGGTATGATGTTCAATCGGGCTGCAATTTGAAAAAAATATTTCGTGTTATTTCTTCACGTGTCGATCTCGTGGTGAAATTTATTGCCGGCGATTGTTTGAAATTCTTCTATTTAATATTTTATAGCTGATTTCAACCGGCGAAGTCAATTTTCAGTGGAAATAAACAGGAAAATAAAATTAATTGCACACGAGACAAACATTATTCGAAATTTCAGTTTCTGCTAGTCGGACGAAGAAAGATAAAAAAAAGCTAATGACCTTCTATTGACTAAAAACTTCGACAGATGGCGCGAGACTACAGTCGTTAGACATATAAACGGTGTGGCCACGATTGGAATAAGGTTGAAGAACTCCCATATTCTTATGGGAGTTCTTCAACCTTATTCCAGTCGTGCGTGGAAAAAGCGTCTAGAGGCAAACTTTGCCACCAAGGCGGCACTGCCAGCGAGTCGAGCCACGCTGGTTACCGCTATAGCAGTTTTGTTAATGTAGAAATCGTTTGGTTTTGATGTAATAATGCTCTAAGCAGACCCGTCTTTGACACGTGCGAGGCCCCTTAAGGAATTCGTAATGGAGGGTTAATGTTCATAAATTTTTTCAATTAGCTTTCTCTGCTAAACATATTGTTATATTTATGTTTAATGAAAGTTATCAAACATATCTTTTGATCATTTACTGTATATAATAATTTTATTACTCGTTGCTCTATTCAGTTTTGCATATTTTCGAGGTCTGGAATTTTAGGAGACCCCTGGGCCCGGGACCGGTAAGCCCACACCTAAAGACGGGCCTGGTTCTAAGCGGTGTTCCGAGGTGTAAAAGTGACTCGTAAACAAAATGTGCCATGTTTTCGTTTCCGAGAGATCCGGAAAAACAACGCGTGGAGAAGGAATGTGCCGAGACTTCGAAATCACCGAGAACTCCTTTGCGAGTTGTGTTTTGATAGTCGTTATATTATAAGGACGTATTAAAGGGGAAAACGTACGTAGAAACGTTTACAACCAACACTAATGGAGCGCAGGATGCAATTCCTATTTTTCTCAGGAGTAAAAGGAACCAAGAGAGAAAATTGTAGGGCCGACCGTAACCAAAAGTCACAGAATCCTTCCAAACAGTTGCCGCATTTACTACTGTTGAGTGAAAAACACATTTCTCAGTACAGTATATAGAAGATAAGAAATTTCTTGTTAGAATACGCAGTATTTGATGATATTGTAACAGATAGCAACTTGGCCCTAATCTCTTTAGGTTGTAAAGATAATTATTTACGATTAGTAACCACAAGAAGTTATTTTTTTTCACAAGAGCAGTTAATAAGTATATAAGTAACACAGTGGCAAATAAAATGCTAAGAAACTATGTAAATTATAAGTAACAAATAAAATAAACTTTTAGCTACCGAGGAACTTTTAATTTTCATCGATGTTTTCAAACGATTTCGCAAATCATCGGATGGATCAACGTTTGAATATGAAAGAAAATTTAAAATATGGAGGTTTACAATATAGAGTAACTTACAACATAATTATGCTATCATACAAATAAAATAAAAAGCAAATAGTTATTAAATAAAAATACAAAATAAAAAAAATGATTAAATAAAAGAATGCCATATTTTGTATTAATAGGAAATAATATAATTGTATTTAGTTTTAAACTTGTTATTTTAACATAAAATAACGGTGCTTAAATCAGTTTCGTTATCTGACGAAATACATTTAATTCGTATACATCAGTATAAACAATATATACTGCGTGTACAATTTAATGCTATATTGTGCGTGGCGTCACATACTCTGGACGAAAATAGGTCCGAGTAGAGCGCCTATAATGAGAGAGTTGTCGTACGAATAGAATAGTTGCCGCCATGTCTTTTCCAAACTGCTCGTTTAGTCGTAGCAGAGTCGGTAGATTACCTGGTCTTTCGACTTCCTATCTTCGCTCGTTGCTAAAATCAACTAGAGACAAATGTTACCACCAGGGGCACTGCAATCACAGCTAGAGCGAATCGCTGTGAGGTCGAATGTTTTCTTTTTATTGAAAGATATATAACCTTCGAGTTCGATTTCATAATTTTTTATATGCATTTTA